GTTAAAAACAAATAAATATTTTTGTATTACCTAATCGTTAAGTAACACGTGACATGTTATTGTTTAAATTACTTGTATTTATTGCCAATTTCTGGCAGTTTACGACTTTAGCCCTTCTACCTACAAGCTGTCATAACCAATAACCACAAAGTACCTACAGCTGCTTAACGACGATTTAATTTCGGGGAACTTCCAAAATTGGAAGTGTATAACGGTTTCCGACTTTATTTAGATTAGTATAAAGTATGATTGTATTTTGTAGCATGTTAGGAATTTGTCCTGTACCTATCGCCTTCGGTCCAGTCTTCCTGTCACATTTCCTGTGCGCTCGATAACGAAATATGTTCCATAAAGTACAGGCTTAGTGATGGGAAAACACGGGAACTTCAATATAACATCGTAATATTTAATATCTAACAGCCCCCCGCTCTTGGGTGATGCGAGAGAGAGAGTGTCAAACTCTCACTGACTAAATACCACCCCGCTTCTACACCTGCTTTGAACTAAAGCCCCGGTATCCCTTCCGGTTCTCAGAGGCTTCGGGTACTGTGAAAGTTGCTTTTGTAAATTTATAAATAAAGAATTAATTATTGAAAGGAATGAAAACCCAATATTTAAATTAAAATACCGTCTACGTCACGAAATCACAACACACAATTTAAAACCATGAAAAAAATTAACGGTCACATTTACCGGGAATTGGAGTCCCATCACTATGACGGCCATTTTTTTAAATGTTTAGTCAGTTGTCCGTCTAACAGTGTTGGTCATGGAATACGTTAATTGGCTCATAATAATAAATACGCGGCTTTCCTTGTAGATAAACTATACTTTATTAACTTCAGTCCACAGGGAAATTTGTTATTTGTGAACCATTGTGTCGTACTAAGCTGTCGTCGAATGGGGTACGTAATATAATTTTTAAACATAAGGCTTCGCAAATGTTAAACGGTCTTGTCTTGTCAGTATAATTTTTGTATCAGTGATTTTAGGTACCTATAACGCGATTAATTTTATTGAAAAGGGGTGCGTATACCTAACATTTAAGGGCATTTAAGTGACACTATTAGGCAAGTATTTTGAAAATTAATTACGTATTTAAAGTGAGACCTATTATTAACTTACCATGACTATTCAAGGTAATATAGTGGTATACTGTCCCTGCTCAGAGACACAAAACGATAACTTCTTAGTTACCTAATGATTTTGTTTCAAAAGCAATTGTGAATAACTGGGTTAAGTCATCCTCAAGCTTCCTTGTGCGTACCGCTAAGGAGTGGAATTCTTTGCCAAAGTGTGTATTTCCTGAAAGGTACCTATAACCTGGGTGTCTTCAAGGCCCGAGTGAATAGGTTGCTTATGGGTCGACGTGCTGCATCGTAGACCACATCATTGCTTACCATCAGGCGAGATAGTGGTCAAACGTCGGCCCATCAAATATAAAAAAAAATTATTATTAAATCATTATGAATATGGCATAGAGTACGGAATAATGTAGTTTAATAAATAACACTACGTAATTTACTGTAAATTGTCATGAAACTAAACAGGATTCTGTAATGTACAAAACTGTCGTGAAAATTGTCTATAGTAAGTTATAAATTGTAAGTTGTCTATGTACTTATTTAACTTTGTCTATAATCAATTGTGATATGAAAAAAGAAGATTTGTATTTATAAAACTCTTGTCGGTTGCGGCTCATCGTATGGCAGTTTGCTGTGTAGTATTGCCAGCTGCCTAGCGAAGGGCAACAAATGACTGAGTTGATCTACACTGCATTAGCAGAAGAGGAGAATTTATCCAGAAGATCAAGAACCTTAGAAGAAGATACCTAGGTATAGATAGATCGTAACTATATAAAACTAGCTTCTACAGCAGCTTCACATACCTGTGGGATAAAAAGTAGTCAAATTATTATACCAAAGGCCTAAGTACAAGTTTGTTTCACGTTTAAAGTATTCGAAACGAGTACGCGTTCGGCGCTCTGATTGGCCGGCACCAATGAACTAACCAATCGGAGCGCCGAAGGCAGTCCCGTTTCGATTACTTTTAACGTAAAACAAATTCGTACTAAGGCCTAAGAACATAATCCACCTCTGTTCTAAATTTCATCCCGATCTCTTCAGCCGTTTTGACGTAATTGAGTAACAAACATACGGCTACACATCGAGCTTTACATAACCAGTATAAACTGAACGTTAAATGTACGGAAAGATGATGCGACGCGATACCAGGATAAACTGGTTTTGTATAGATTGATGTGTGGCCGTGTGTACACAAACTTTGCATTTATATAATTAGTAAGATGTGAATGTTTGGTTGGATGTTAGTTATTAAATTAAGTCAGCACGCCTGAACGATTTTAGATGAAACTGGTAATATGTAAATTAGAGTCTGGAATGACACATGGTAATTTTTATCCCAAACGCGGGCGAAGTTGGAACTCATTTTGTAGTTGTCTGTAATAAGTTGTGTACTTAGCTGTAAGTTTGTGTGTATTTATTATTAAGTTATGAATTAAATATTGTTCTAACTACTTAATATGTAATTACTTATTATAATGTAAGAAGTAGTTGTCTGATCGTGGCATGGGAACAATAGGAAAGTTGATTTCGAGTAGGTACTGATTATTGTTTGTTTTTGTAATTTAGCGATTTTACAAAACATGTAATAGGTCGCTCTATGATTTTATTTATCGAAATGTCGATACCTACCATACAGCGTACGTATGTACGATATCAAATACAGAAATACATATAATATTTGTGCGGATAGGATTTGTGTTATCACCAATTTCGGAAGCATGATCAAATGCTACTAAAAATAACAAGGACAATAAGTACCTACGTACAATAAATAGACTGGCCAGTCAATACTCAAAATATAGGATGTCAAGAGGTGCCTTAATGTTTATTTTTACCACGGAATACAACAAAAAGATTGGTGTACATTTTTTTAATGGAATAAGAGGCAAACAAGACGACGGATCACCCGATCGATAATATTATATTTTTAACGAAAGAATATGTAAAACGTAAAAATGCGTAAAAAAAGAGTGCGTTATGAATAAGACCGAAGAAGAATTAAGTTTTGGTAAATAAATAATGAAACAATGTCCTTATCGTGTTTCATGGTAACGAGCTACCACAAATGGCATTATGTAACGATACGACGATAACACTAACCGTTGAAAGGGACTGCACTACTGATAAAAGTTCCGAACTTCCAACTATTGTTTAATATTATGTAAAATTAATCCCTTTTTCCCTTGGTTACGGCATCACGAGTGAATGGCTGGACCGATTTTAGTAATTATTTTTTTGTTGTGTTTGTTGTTACTAGGAGAAGGTCTTTAAGACAAAAAAAATCCTGAAAATCCTACGGGAATGGGCAAAAACAGGTGTGTACGAAGTCGCGGGCGGAAGCTAGTTATTTTTAAATGCGACATTTTAAACTAATTTTACGATAGCATATCGTCCATATCGAATGTTTTAATATAAGTTATGTTTATGAAAAATGACGAATACGAATGTATAAGTGTGGTATCGGTACATCGCAACATAGTATAACCATAACACAAAGTTGCTTTTTCTGTCTGTCTGTCTGTATGTTTGGATTTTGATGTGGCATTTTTTAAAATAGATAAATGATTCAAGAGGAATGTTTAAAATGTGTATAATATAAATAGAGAAACCCTAATAACCGTGCGAAGCCGATGCGAGTATTAAGTGACAATATAAATATTGCACGAATAATTATACATACAACGTGCTCTGAAGAAGAGTTCCACAAGGGAATATTTTAGGCCCGTCTTAAATTAATATTAGAGGATAGGAAACTACGATTGGTGTCAATTGCACGTGAACATTACCTATGTGTTCACTGTCCATTTTGGATGAATACAATTTTCCTAAATGAATTTGTTAAGTCTAGAAATGAAGACAAAATAATTAATTAGGCTATAAGAAATAATATTAGACTATCGCTACTTTCGCGCGGCCCCTTTGCTGGGCTCCGATTGGTCATAGGCATGATGTTTTATATCCTACTAGCTTTTGCCCGCAATTTCGTACGCGCAATCCCGTTTTCTCCCGTTCCCGTAGGATTTTCAGGATTTTTTTCTGTCATAAGAACCTTCTACTGACAATAACAAATACAACAAAAAAAAATCTGACAAATCGGTCTAGCCGTTCTCAAGTTGTAACGTGACAACGGGAAACGGGTTTCATTTATATATATAAGAAGATTGTAATCCTCGATAAATATTGAATTTATGAAACAGAAAAAGAATTATTAAAATCGGACTAGTAGTTCCGGAGATTAACGCGTTCAAACGAACAAACATACAAACTCTTTGGCTATATATAAGTATAAGATAGGCGTAAAGCGTAATCAATTCCTTGTTTTTTTGTCCTATTTTGTAGGGTCCTATTGTTAATTAATAACATACATAACTCTTCAAAACTCGGAGTATCGTTTTCTTTTAAGAAAAACCCTGTAAATAATTAAAGATTAAAAAAATTAAGTAAATAATGAACGAAACGTGACTGACCTCAAAATATGTGAAACAGTTATTTAATGACATCAGAGTCGTATTTAAAATCCTATATTACATAAAATACATTAGAAGAAAAACAGGTTGGTTTATTTAAATGTGCATAATATATTTAGGAAATACACACACATAGGTATTATACTATGCATATGCATATGTGGCCAGCTTGTTTAAAAGATTTAAGTAAATCTAATTTCAAAATTCACTAAGGCTAAAGCCGGGTCCATACATTTTACAAACAATTTTAATAAACAACAAATAGCAAATACGAACACGTGGTGTTTGTATCTATGTACCTATGTGGCTGTGTTCTTGTTTGTGTTCGCCACTGTTCGACACCGATGCCGAACAGTGGCGAACATAAACACAGATCAAAGGCTGTTCGGCAAACAGTATGCGATGTATCCACACGCATATATCGACGTTCGGAACTTCATTAGTTGATGGGGCATACAGATTTAAGTAAGAGTAAGGATGCTAAGCCACCCACCGGTCAGTGCCCACATAGCCTAATGATGCTCAGATCAGAGCCTTTTCCACCACCTTCATAAAAGTTATTCCCTATATACTTATATGGCAGATAGTTCACACAAGTTATGTCCTTAGTTTTATCTGTGACTGCATAATGACTATATAGACATTGTGAAACAAGCCCTTAGACCAATTGTCATTTTTCTTGACTGTCGAGTAAAATATTACTGGGTTTTAGGGATAAAGAACGGTTGAATACCATACCTCCTTCTTTTGAACTTGTTAAAAATGTTACTTATCTCCTAGACCCCGCCATAGCTATCATTGACCGGTTTCCACCTCATAACTAATATCGTGTAGTACAAAAATTGCAAGTTCAAGGCAAGCCATCTATATATATAAAATTCAAAGGTGATTGACTGACTGACTGATTGACTGACTGACTGACATAGTGATCTATCAACGCACAGCCCAAACCGCTGGACAGATTGGGCTAAAATTTGGCATACAGATAGATGTTATGACGTAGGCATTCGCTAAGAAAGGATTTTGATAATTTCCACCCCCAAGGGGGTAAAAAAGGGGATGAAAGTTTGTATGAGACTTTGTCAGTTTTAAACCGATCGGGTTGTAATTTGGCATGCAGATAGATGTTATGACGTAAGCATCCGATGTGAAAGGATTTTGATAATTTCCACCCCCAATGGGGGTAAAATAGGGGATGAAAGTTTGTATGAGACTTTGTCAGTTTTAAACCGATCGGGTTGTAATTTGGCATGCAGATAGATGTTACGACGTAGGCGTCCGCTGTGAAAGGATTTTGATAATTTCCACCCCCAAGTGGGTAAAATAGGGGATGAAAGTTTATATGAGCCTTTG